CTGTGCAAAGGTGTTATAAATCACCATAATCCTGGTTTAATAATTTGTAATGATTCTGACGCAAAAACAAGGCAGTGCTGCCTAGTGGGTACATGATAAAATTAGGACTAAGAAAGCCTGAGATTTCTTCTCTGCTCTGCCACTGGTTTGTGGGGTGGCCAGGGTCATATTGCCATTCTCTGCCTCAGTTTCTCTGTTTATAAAGTGGAAGGAATTAGTTCACTTTGCATTTTCTCACCATGGATATGAATGGTGGTCTGTGATGTAAATAAAGTGGAGTCTGGCTTTTAATTTTTTTTCTGTATTTTTGGTCCTCATCCTTGACAGCTTTGTACTTCATGCCATCATTTCCATTCTGCACTTTTCATACAAGACTAAATGGTAGAAGTCTCCTTCCTTGATAGTAGCCCATGCACGTTAGTCAAGATAGAATGTTGGCAGAAAAAGCAGGACAGTGAAGATCCAGGCCATTCTTCCTGACAGCAGAAACAAATGTGCCTCACTTTTGCCCTACTATTTACTCAAGCAGAAAACAAAACAGTAGAGATGGGAAAAGATCTGAAAGAGCTGTCACAGAACAAGTGCACCATGCCAATAATTTGAAGGATTAAGGACCCCAAGCCGTATGTACTGACACAATAGCGGGGGCCATCCTGTTCACTGGGTTCATGGATTAGAGGGATGTTTCATATGATTCTGGTTTTCTTTTCAACACTGGTTGAACAAACATAGCCTGTGTGCTTGCAAATCCCTTGTTAGCAATGCAAAAAGTCAATACAATTTCCCTTTCACTACACTCTATGATTTTGCCTTTGGAAAATGTTGCAGATGCTCTGTCTGGATGCCTTCATAGAATCATCATGACTTTGTGTCTGGTTTGAATGTGTGATGGTGAATGGTGGGAGCCCAGAAGAGGGGCCTGGAGTCAGTATACCTGCATTGAGGCCGTGACACTGAGAGACTGACCTGAGCTGCAACGCTGGATTTTTTTGTCTAAGCTGCTGTCTTACAGAGTGGGGTAGTTCACCCTTGAAGTGCACTTTTGCTCAGACTATGGCAATGGCAGGGTTTGGGATCAGTGATGTCACAGATTTTATTTTAAAAATTTATTTATTTTACAAATATAAAGATGGTGTTGCTTTAGTGCTGTGGAAAGTTTATATGGGTTTGAGTCAAGCAGGGATTTTTCTTCCTCTCACATCACTGCCATCATGCTGCTAGCAAGCTCTGTCCCATCCAGTTCCTCTGCCAGCTCATGCAGAGGATTCCCATTCCAGCACTAAATGGCAGCAGTGGGCCTGTTTGTGCAAAGACCTAATGTGTGCCTCCTCCAACATAATCTAGAGGCACAGTTTGGGAATTTCATGGTCAATGTGATAAACTCTCATAATCATAAAAGATGATCACAGAAGTCCCACAAACTTCAGTAAGTTAGGAGTATTTGTGCCAATGTATTTATTACATGTGAACATTTGTCATTAAGAACCTACCAAGCTACATGGTTTGTGGGTGCACAGAAGAATTTCAAGGGAGGTATCACAGCTCCTGGAACCAGCATGTGGACTGAAATGCTGTCTAGTGAAGGATCACTTTTTTTTTTTTAAACTCACAGTACAAAATTTCAGAGGAGGGGCGGGAAAAGCAAATGTGTGGTGTAGCCAAAGTCTTCCTAGTAAGAAGGATTCTGATACATTTTTGAAAGCTTTTTGTCTGTGTTGCCCGGTAATCTGTTTATCTCTGTTTTCTCATACCAGTTATTTAGCCGTTACATTTATCTTGTTTCAGTGAAGGTATTTAGATTAGCATTAAAATTCCAAAGCATCTGGGTAATGTCTCGGCGTTTTAAGTGTGGTGCAGTCTTTGTATTTGCACACAGGATAAACCCTTTAAAAAGAGGGATGCCTGTCAATTTTTTACTGTGAAGGCTATTAGACAGTTGCTCTTACAGGCCTCTACCTGAAGTATCGGCAGTGTTAGCTTCCTCCTTGTACTTGTCCTTGAGAGACACCGTTCAAGAGAAAAATAGAGCTAATTCCTTGCTCTCTGGGGCAGTTTGCTGAAGATGCAATCCCTGTGGGGAATATTAATTCACTCAGCCTGAGCTGCATCTGCATTGAATTCAAACCAGTAACTTTGTGATGAAAGATTTGCTCCTTCTGGTAACTTAGCTCCTTGCAGGAAGGGCTGAGTCCACTTCCTAACAAAATGATTGGCCCTGCTATATACTTGTGTTCATGCTCTCATGTTCATATGTCATCTTAGGCTGACCGTTATGTTACCGGCTTGGCTGCTAGTAACATAACAGTCAATTACATGCCTTTTTTAATGCAGCAGGGGCACAAGCAGGAAGGCAGGCTTCCTGCTTTTGAGTGGAGCCGGAAGATGAGGCATTTCAGGAGACAAATGTTTGCTATTTACAAAACGCTTAGCAGATGGGCATCTGTAAAGTCACCTGCTGACAGCAGTAAGGTACAAAGCCCTCTGCTGTTACAGAGGAAATGCTGGCTTCTCCAAGATAGGCTGAGTATGGTTTGATGAGTTTTTTATCTGTATGATCTAAATGGTGCAGGCTTGGTTTTTTTGGAAGATATCTGCTCTTATTTAGGTGGATGTTCAGAAAAGCTCAACAGGTTTTGAAAATTGGGTCATGTATGTAAGTATGCTTTCAGTTAAAATCTTAGTTTCTCCACAGTTTGACCTACAGCCTGCTGCTGTGGGTGGGACTAGTTTGGTGGCCATGTCAATGCTATAAGCTTGTATCATAGTAGACCTGACTCCTCCGTTGCAAGCAGAAATGACCTTCATTCGTGCATTCCCTGTGATCCCATCAATTCATTTGTAGTGCTGCACAGGGTCCATAAGCAACTGTATAATCTTTCTAAGCATAGCAGGAGTGGTACTTTAACAGTGCAGATAAAAATATGGTCTAGGACTTCTTGCACTGAGAGGTGCTAATGCAGTAGAAGGGCACAGCCAGCTTTGCTTTGTGCTGCTGGTGGATCTGGCTGATAGATGAACCTATCCTGCTAAGCACCTGTCTGCCTTCCCCACGCAAGAGCCTGGAACAGAACAGCTATTCTAGATTGGTGGATTGACATTACTGGGTCCAGGTACAAACTAGCAAATCCTCAATCTACTTAAGTTAAAGGTACTTGAGCTAGTCCTTAGAAGCACTGTTTCAAGAGCAGAGACAGGCAAACAACCCTTACAGACCCCGAACAGGTCAGGAGAGATCAAGGCTACAATGATTAACTGGCTGTCTACCTACAGCGCATCCTGGGCTCTGCCTCTTTTGCATGGAGATGTATATACACATGCACGCTTGCACACATTTTGCATTTCAGTAAGTCTCTAAATTGAAAATGAGCATTTCAGCTATTAGGTCAAGCCTAGGCCTTGCTTTGAGTTTTTCTCAGACTGCTATTGTTATGATGCAGGGAGTCTTTTTTTTTTTGGAAGTGTGGGAATATCAGTGAATAAAATCTCAACCTTTTTTTTCTCGTTGATGCTATTCAGTCTGGGTAATATGAGGTTTTGTGCCTAAGTGGGTTCAATGGTTTTGGCAGAATGCCACAAATTTTGTCACCCTTTTCTCTGTCGGATGAGAGAGAAACAGACATTTATTTTCTGCCCAAGCTGGATTTCAGGTTTGAGATTTCCTGGCTGTCCATTCTGCTCTGAGATGACGGTCACTTTCCTCTCTCCTGGGGATTGCAAGAAGCGGAGGACTGCTTGGGATCGTTGCTGCAAACTTCCGGTCCCCATGTGGAAGGCCTGCCTTTTGTACGTATTCATCTCTCTGAAATGAAGGAGGTTTTTCCAGCTGCACTTGAGAGGTTAGTGTGTTTTTAGAGGGAGCAAAGTTTGGTGCTAAACTTCCTTTGTGTCTTCTGGCAATTGGAGCCAAAATACATTTGATCTTTTCTCAAACTAATTTATAGATTGAAATCTAATTAATTTCTTTTGGCAATTGGTTTGAATTATTTGGTGATATTTTTGATCTTGTGGGTAGTAGTCAAGTACAAACAAATAAACTAGATTCCTATGGCTGTCAGTATATTAAAGACAAAAAGAACTTTGAAGGTGAAAAAAACCCCACCCAGAACTGTAACCACTGAAGGTGAAAAAAGAACATGAGATGTCATGACAGCCCAAGGATGAAATTCCCTCTATGTCCACTGCGTTTCCTCCTTAGACAAAGGTGGCACAGTCAGGCCTTATGTGGGTTGGTACCTTTGTGCGTTTTGTGCATATGCTCTTGAGTATGGACTGGCTTTCCCTCACTTTTGCGGAGCACCAAAGCTGACCCAGGAGTAGTGTCCTAAGCATTAATGAAACCGAAATGGTAATATTACTCCCATGCAATGCAGGGTGAATGAGACGGGGATTTGTTAGGGATTTCCCCTCTCCTCTATTTGATCTTTATTTCCAGATGAAGCATTCAGTGATTTACCAGTCAGAGTCATCTCTTTCCCCTTCCTTCATCTTTCTCCTTATTTTTCTGTGATGTGTATTACATACGATCAATACAACGATGGCTGCATTGAAAATCCCTTCATCTACCGCTTGCTAAGCCTTGTACCTATCCGCACCGACGAACGGCTTTCCAAGCCCTCAATCCTCAGCAAATTTCACCACCCCGGGAGCCAACAGCGACCGACACAGGCAACAGGTCGGGCGAGGGGCTGCTGCATCCCCCCGCTCCCGGGCTGCCGGCCGCTCCGCTCACCGCTTCCTCGGCCTTGGGTTTGGTTTATTTTCCCCGACTGGGAAGAGCAGCCCCCTTTTTTCTCCTTTTTTTT